CCCCCCCCCCCCCCCCCCCCCCCACGCTGAGGTGCACTGCTCCCTGACGTTCCACACTACTCCTCTCTCTGTTTTCACGCCTGGTTTCATTGTTTTGTTTTCCTCCATTACCGAAGACTCAGATCTTTAGACCCTTTTGTTTTCCTGCAGGAGAGACGGCTCAGATCGGGTCACAGAACAGCTGTGACCCGATCTGTTGCGTGCTTTGGAGAACTTTTAGTGTCTGTAAACAACTCAGGACACTGCGGAGATTAAAAAAAACATACTTTCAGTGTTGTTTAAAAATGTAATTGTATCCTGCTCGGTAGCCGGCGTCGGGTCAGATAAATATAAAGTATTCACAGCAAACCACATCCTCTCACAAGTCATTTTACTCTTAAACGGAGGAACCAAGCAATTCAAAACCTTATAGCCTCCATATTACTCCGAGTTGAATGTCACAGTCAACACAACACAGAACAACGATGTTAACAGTACAATGTTTAATAAAAAAAGTTGAATGTTTCAAACTACTATGGTAGCACTTCAGGCCTCAAACATAACCCGGTGTTATTTGGGATGTTCAACAGTGCTGCTGGGTCCTTGACCTTAATGCTCCGGTGTAGCATGTGGCTTAGCTCTCTGTGTGCTGTGAGAGCTGCATTGGAAAAGCACTCAAGGGACCTTTCACAAAGGATTTAAGTAGGTGTTTTCTGGAAACGGAGGCCTTCGCTGAACTGTACAAATGTATTAAAAGCTGCTGCTGCTGTACATCTGGTTTTGAACTCATGTTAACATTAAGTAATTCCACAATGAAACAGCTACCCCACCATCCAAAGTCAGGATTCAGTTACTTTTTCCCGAGGTGGATATGTGCCGTTTTGGAGCTTCAAGATGTGAGTAAACGGAAATAAACGACTTTCTGGCCTCTTTTTGGTGCTCCTTACGGCATTTGAAAGATTCAGAAAAACAACCAATCAGAGCAGGGGACTCTCTCACGCTGCTGTCCGATCAAACTGTCAAACTAGGCAGCTCTGATCAAATATTTCTCACCTCAAATGTTTTCCAGAAACATATTTTCGTGAGCTGCTTAGCTGTAAAATTTGAAAGTTTGCATCATTTTACAGCTGAAAAAAAGAACTGAAATATGTTTCTGAAAACATTTGAGGTGAGAAACAGGCAACAGAGCAACAGAATATCGATTCACAATTGACCAGAGCTGGCTAGTTTGACAGTTTGAATCGGAGTTCACGAGCAGTGACTGACAGCTGCGTTAGAGACTTCCTCTGATTGGTTGTTTTTCTCTGGACGAGGTGGAATTTTGCAAATGCCATTAGGAGCAGAGGAATCAGATTTTTTTGTTTCTGATTATCTGTCTCATGTACTACTGTTAGGATGTAGTGACAGTTTGAGCGAATATGCCAAAAGACGTTTTTATCAACGGTACCAACTGTAGCTTTAACATTGTATTTTAGCTCCTTTTTCACGACCTGTCAAGCTGTCATACAGAAAGTAAAGTTTTCGCTTCAATAACTTTGATTGTCTCTTTTATAGGTACAAGTTCTGGTCGAATGCAATGCTACACCAATTGAAATCTCTGCGTGCTCACTGCCGCCTTGTTTTTCTTTTCCCCGGTGACCTTCCCCCGAGGTTGAATGTCACAATTTCACCGGTTGGTCTCACGGTGTCACCGACTTTAAGATGCACATCTGTTAAGTCCACAAGGGCTTAGGCCTGTCTCGCTGCAAATTCAGCGAGTACTTAAGGGCTCCGACGTGAACTTTAGGAGCCTTTGTGCAGATTGTTAGCAAACCTGCAGACTTTCGAAAAGCACTTGAGCAGAAGTTACAGCTCTGCTTAGTGCATTACACGTATACATTTTCACATGAACGTGTTGTTTAGGTGTTGTACGTTTCCAGTGGTTTTTTTGTACTTGTCAGGAAACTAAAAGACTCAGGCAAGGATGCATTTTCCCTCCTTTTTTGTACATCAACACACACTTCATGTTGCCTTCAAAGGTCAGTCGTAAACATATACTTTGAACTCTGAGCGCAGCGGCTCAGTGGAAACCTTTGGAGTGGTGCGCGGCGACAATTGTAGCTCTTCCTCCGAGGCAGACGGCTTTGCTTAATCCACAGAAAAAAAAAAACCAATAATGGCCGAGAGAGAGGGCACAAAGTGAATTTGCCTTCCAGCAGGTACTTCACACATTCACTATTCATTCAAGCTGTTGTTGCAACTTGCAGTTAGCAACTTAACTTTTGTTTGGATTTTCCTCAAACCTCATCCATAATTCATGAGATGACCAACATGCATTCGTTTCTGTAACAAACTGAACCCTACAAGCAATCAGGGAAGGGCAGGTGGCCACCTGTCAATCATACACAGGTAATAGTGTGCGGTGCACAAAAAGAACAGAACAGGTTTAATTACTTTCCCTGCAAGTTCCTGTATGATCTACTATATACAAGTTATGTAATCACAAATTATCCAATTCCACTTCTATTTTCAAGGACTCCGGGGATTGTAACACTTAAGCAGTGTTAAATCAGCGGGACCCTCTCGGCCTGAAACCGACGCTGGCCTCACATCCTCCTCTGGGAGGCTGGTGTTTACCGCCCGGAGTGGCTGAAAATTAATTGGCTCCTTGAGCTGCTGTACATTCCCCCCGTCAGTGCGATGGCCTCACCTCATTGTGCTGTCACTTTAAGTCGAAGTGTATTAATGGACTGTGTGGGCCATTGATTCCTAATTCCTCTCGACGTTGACATCGGGGATAAATATTGCGTGGCACGGTTGTCTTCAGGCATATTGTAATCAGCATTGTTATCGATCGCCTGCCCGAGCCACTCAGAAGTAATCTATTTTAAATACACTTTCAGCAAAAGGGGGATGTTCGGGGCCTTGTCCCAGTACTTTGGCGAGGACAGAGGCACAGGGACTGTAAGGATAAGAGGGTAGGAAGTGTCCCGAGCTGGTAGATATAAGAGAGAGTGAGAGACATTCAGACAGACTGACAGATAGAAGTATTGCGAGCGTGACCGAGTATGCTCTGTGAAATATGTCTTGCTTCAACATATAGGTGGTCTCCGGGTGGTCTCTGTCAGCGCGCGTTTGTCTGTGTGTCTGTCTCCGTGAGGCCGGCGGATGATGGATGAGGGCTCAGCCGGCAGCGAGCCAGACGTCGGCGCTATCGATTTATCCTCACATTTGTCTGGGAGGAGGCGGCGGCTGGTCAACGGGCATTTCGACTCAGCGAGCCTCGATATGTGCTCACACACACACACACACACACACATACGTACAGTGTTTTCACAGCATTTCAAACGGACAGCTATTCTTTCGCGCCAACTGAGGCATGGGCCTTGGTTTGAATTGTTCCATTGTCTGCTGAGCGCAATGAGTGCCTCCCTCCTCATCAAGGTGTTTTTATTGATCCACTTGCAAAGTGGCATCCACTTGTTTAACATCCAGTCTAACACACTTCAATTGGCCCCAGCCTTGCCTTGTCTGCCTGCCTCCTCGTCTGACTGTTTTGTTCCGCTCAGAGCACACAAGACGTGAAGGAGGAGTGTGCGTTTGTGTCTGTGATGACTCGTGTGGCGGCGTGTGTGTTTTAGGATAAATCGTATGAAATAAAATATTTTTTTTTGTGCCACTGTCGAGAGTTAGTGCTCCATTCAGCCCGTTGAGCAGTGCATTAAGGCGGCAAAGCAAAGTTGCTATTCTCTCCACCCAAGGCTTTTGTTTGTTTCTCCCGTTATACGTGCTCTGCTCGTTTTGGTGTTCATAATCAGCGTTAACAAATTGGAAGGTCTTCCATTGTTCTCTCTGCCTAGCCATCTTGAAAATGGCCCCCAATTACGGGGGGAACAAGGAGGCGACATGGCAGGGACACAATCTCAGTTTTGACTGAACACGATTGCACTGGAGTTGGACACGTTACAAGAAGTACAGTAGATATTGATGTTGCACACTTGAAGACACACAGCTTATTTCATCTTCTAGTTGTAATCTCTACTGTATTTTTAATTGTCAAAAGTTAGAATTTCTGACTTCCTGACACCTCTGGGATGCTATAAAAGAGTCTCTGCCTCCTAGAGTCGTATAAAAGTGATGTATGATAACGATGAAAGATTGAATCTAAATGTTTGGCAGGCGTGCCATTAATGATGACAGTTATGGCAATGCTTTTCTGAAAGAGGGTGACATTTACCTCATCGACGATCTCGGACCGCACAGATCACGGAATAAGAAATGATTAAGGGCTCCATGAGATGATTCATCATCTCACCTTCTCTCTCTTGCTCTCTCTCTCTCAGGGGATGATGTACCTGGAGGAGAGGAGGCTGGTCCACAGGGACCTGGCAGCCCGCAACGTGCTGGTGAAGTCGCCCAATCACATCAAGATCACCGACTTCGGCCTGGCGCGGCTGCTGGACGCCAACGAGAAGGAGTACAACGCAGACGGGGGCAAGGTTGGTGTAAGTGGAGGCGTGAACGTGTCTTGTTGCTGTGTGTGTGTGTACAGTGCTTACCCAGAGGACAGGGACAGCTTACAGCAAAACGGTTGACATAAGTAGTAAATACTGCGCACAAAAAGTAATAAAACAAAAGGTCCAGGGAAGGTTGTTAGGTCTTCAGGGCCAAAAGCATTTGTGTGTCTCTGAACGTGTGTGTGTGCATAGAAATGTGTCAAAAAATACATTTTTGTTGTTTCTTTTTAAAAGATGACCTCAACCTTGTCTGGCACATTTGCATGTTTGCATGTGTACATTTCATCCTATACTTTGCCTTACGGCTGTGTGCATTTATACACAGAAGAATTGTCCACCCCCACCTACACACCAGGCAAATATACATAGCATTTTAATATACACTATTTGAGAAAACACAATAGAGTGTTTGCTCCACATTACCAGATGTTAGCCAGCTGTGATGCATCATTTTCTTCTTCAGGAAACCAAATAGGAAGGAAAAAGATGACAGTATTTTGTCTTTTCCTTTTTCAAATCAGGTATCTGGATGTGGAGATCTTACCAGAAAAGAACAGATTGAATTTTACGTGACATGGAACGACATCTCTACCAGTTTAAGAGCTGTGAAACTCTTTTTGGTCAGGCAAAGCCCGGCGAACCTAGTTTCAATAATATACAATTTAAAAGCACTTCATCCAAGGGAATAATGCAGCCACGGTTCCAATCAGTTTGTTTTGTTTGGGGACCGAGACCATATTAATCAGGAGTCCCTTCTTTTTCCTCGCTTGAGTTGTACTCTGCAAATTGTCCTGATCAACACGCTTTATTTAATTGGCTTGTTCATCAGCTGGAGGCCCGAAGGTAGACACTGTTACCAGTGGGCAAATGAAAAATAAAGTGTTTCCATAAATGCGACCAGCTGAGTTTGATGCGACCATCTGAGTGATTGACTCCGTGTGGGTATTCGCCTTGATAAATGAGAGCTGTTGTCAGCAGATACACACGTATGCCATAAAAATAGATGCGCCGCGAGAGATAAATCAACAGGGATGAAGGTGACGGCGCCGCGCCACATTTCCAACCCCAAGCTTTTCATTTCCCCTTCTTCCTGCCCATTTCCCTGAAGAGTGCGTCAGGCTCCCCGCGTGAAGGCAGGGGGCCGTGTTTCAAATGACCGATGAGTGCACGTGTGTGTGTGTGTGTGTGTGTGTGCATGTGTGCGTTCACATGCAAAAGGCCAGATAATTGCCTTGTTCAGTGGACTCCACGGCTGAAAACCCCCCCCCCCCCCCCCCCACCCCTACAGTCAATATGGAAATCTTATGGCAGTTAGGATATGGCGATGTGTGCCGTTGTCCTTGTCAGGAATGTCAAAGGGCCCGTTTTTATTTCAATTTCACCCACTGGCTGCTGTAAACCGACTTCATTGAGATCATGTGAGACAATCGCCCAATACGATCTCATTTAATACCTTTAAAAAAGCACGCTCGCTGTTGATGATCCCTGGGCTCGACTGAAGCTAATCAATCACGGTACTTGGGTAATATTGAGCAAAGTGTGCTTGAAAGCACTGTCGATTTCCCAATACTTCACAAACGCTTGATTTAAAAGACGTGGCGGCTGTTGAGCAAAACAACTTAATGGGAAAGTGTTCCACTCAGGTGTAATAGGTGTGAAGCTTCCTAATTCTGTCTTTTCTGTCTTTGTTTGCTCGGTTCATGCGGAAATCCCCGTCTTTACGTACACGTCCCTCTCTCCTCAGATGCCCGTTAAATGGATGGCTCTGGAATGCATCCACTACAGGAAGTTCACCCATCAGAGCGACGTGTGGAGTTATGGTGGGTGCTGCGTGCATTATCGCTCATCAGTGTGTGAGTGTGTGTGTGTGTGTGTGTGTCTGTGTGTGCGTGTGTGTGTGTGTGTGTGTGTGTGTGTGTGTGTGTGTGTGTGTGTGGACATCACTGATTGTTGTGCTCAGAGGTGTGGGAGGAAAAAAGTCAGTTGACCTGAAATCCTCTGTCCTCTTATTTGCATTTTTTCGCCCCCCTTATCTTTCTGCTCATCTTGTTCTCTGGCTCTTTGTCTCACCTCCCCATCTCTCCCTGTCTGTCTTGCTGCCCCCCCCTCCCCCACCCCCCACCCCCTATCCTCCAGGAGTGACCATCTGGGAGCTGATGACATTCGGAGGCAAACCGTACGACGGTATCCCCACGCGAGAGATCCCAGACATCCTGGAGAAAGGGGAGCGCCTGCCCCAGCCGCCCATTTGCACCATAGATGTCTACATGGTCATGGTCAAATGTGAGGAGACACACTTACAAGTCCTCGAGCACACATACATACACTCACAAACAAGACGTGTGTGTGCAAAATGTGGTTTATTGGATGAACGAGTGGTATTGATCTTTCTCGGCTCACTCTCTTTCTAGATGAAAACCAGATTATTAAAATACCTGACAAATCCAAATACTTTCAAACATGCAAAAATGCCATGTCAATGTCAATAGTGTTGCTCATTGTTTTAAAACATGCCCTACAAGGCCAAATACTCCCAGAGATATTAAAGGGAGATATTAACACAGTTAAATCTTCTCAGGGTACATATCACCAAATTTTACGTCCACAGAATTTAACCATAAAAGTTAGTCATCAGTGAAATAGAAAAAGCTCGTCCCTTGCTACTTATCACACATTGCCTCAGCTACAGGAGGCGACATTAAAGACAATGTCAGGGAGCAGCACTCCAACTCCAACGTGAGGGATGTGGCGCACATCACCTTATTTTAAAACCACGTTCCAACGCAACTTGAGGTGTCACGGACGAGCAGTAGTTTTAATAAAAGCGTTGGTGCTTTTAATATGCACCTGGTAAGGTGTTTTCAGAGCTCAGGGGCTTTCGATCCAATTCTGGAAGAGAGGGAGTGATATGTAAAGCGGAGAGATGAAAAAACAATTCAGAGACAGAGAAATTGAAGAGATGCTGGTTTATGGTCTGCGGCATGCATTGCACCCCTGTTCGTGCCATCCTCCATCTGGACGACCACACCTCCCTCCCAGCCGGCGCACCCCGACTCTCCCTCCAGCCCACACAGCTCGTCCAAAAAACCCAGCCTTCTCTTCATCCTCCCCCAAATTCTCCCATCTTGCCCTCCGTCCCCTTGGCTGGATTCAGAATTCAGAACCCTGGTTGTGGTGTACATGTCTGTGGAGGGAGCCGTCCTCCCATATTTCCAGGAAACGGTCCAGACGCACAAGCCAATCCGTGCTATGAGATCTGCCAGCTAACGGCTGCTTGGCTATCCTTTTTCCGCGCACCAGTCTGGTCATCGCTCCACCCTGAACCCAACTATGGTGCCGTCCCTCCCTGTCTTCTGGTGGTGGCTGAAAATCTCATAAAACTCCAACTTCTCCACTGATTTTTTATTTGTTCCCCCCCTTGTTATTGCAGTTCTTACTTCTTTTTTTGTTGCACAAATATTGTATCTGCACTATGAATATCCCTCTTATTATTGGCTGCTTCATGCCCTATGAGTCTAAACTAACTCTACTGGTGCACTACTCATTTGCTCTGGATGAGGAGAACAGCAGAGTGCTGAAAATGCCACATGTGTTGAAAGAGAATGATGTGATCCAGCTTGGAGCTTGATATCAAAACATAGTCCCATGACAAAAAAATGTTCATCCGATCCGAAATGTCATGAGATATAATTGTTCTTTTTCCAAATGAGAAAACGACTGCCAATGGCTTTTGAGAGCACAGAAGCAACCGTGAAAGCCCTACAGCCATTTAGCCTAATGACGAAGCCAACTGATTTCTGTCTTTGCCCCCGAGAGGACGAGAGGAATTTGTACACAACCGCAAGCACACACAAGTCATGTAACGTCGGCTGAGCATCATCAGTGGCGATCAGAAATAGTCCAAAGCAGGTCAAGCACTGAGTCAGACTAGCGGGAGGGTCTCTCCGCCCCGTCGGAAGCCACGAGGAAGCTCAGCAAATGGCCGCATTAATTGTAATTGCGCGTTGACTCCGAGCCGTTGTTTGTGATTTGGTGCGCTGTCACGCTACGTGCCCCCGCCATCTCAGCGTCACCCCAATAAAGATGGGATAGAGTTTTGATTGCTGGAGTAATTGCAGCTCATTTAGTTAATGTGCCTGCGTGTGGCGCTAGAGCAAAAATTAGAGGCACCAAGCGAAGACGGTGGCGGGGGGCGAAATGACACCAGAGAAGGTCGGGGGGGGTGTTCAGTGAGAGCCGGCTTCAGATCGACTGGAGGAAACATACATCAGGCCACAGACTCTGAAAACAGCTGCATAAATGTAGTGAGGATATGTCACCCTTAAAGCCTTCCTCTGCTCCATCTTTCTCTGTCTCTTCCCCAGGCTGGATGATTGACGCAGACAGCAGGCCGAAGTTCAAGGAGCTGGCTGCTGAGTTCTGCAGAATGGCCCGGGACCCCCAGCGATACCTAGTCATCCAGGTGTGTTTGCCTCAACAGCCTCACTGTCGGAGCACTCGATAATAAGGCTTTTAAAATATCTGAAGGAAAATAATTCCATCTTCCAAGATATTTATGGAGTTTAACCTCAGCAAAGCATGCGCTAAGAGAAATGTATCACATGTCACTTTTAGGGAGACGACCGCATGAAGCTTCCCAGCCCCAACGACAGCAAGTTCTTCCAGAGCCTCCTGGCCGAGGAGGATCTGAATGACTTGATGGATGCTGACGAGTATCTGGTGCCTCGGGGTTTCAACGTGGCCCCTCCGTCATACACCACCAGGCCTCGCGTCGACTCCAACCGAGTAAGGCTTCCGCGCTCAAAAACATATTTAATCATTTTTGAATCACGTATTTTGCTGTAGTCTTCATAAATGTGTCAAACTGCTTTCCAGATCGCAAGGTGTTTGAGCAGAACACTTTTATTCATAAATACTTTATTATTACAAAACATCTTTTCATAAAACCCTTTTAAGACTACTGATTTAACTTTAACCTCAACATATAATATTAAGACTGCCCAGCTCTCTGTCCTCTATAAGGGCTCAAGGTGGTTAAGAACTTCCAATACACTGATGATTTTCCTCTTGCTAATGGCTGCCCTCCATCATTCACATCCCAGCGTGTGTGGCTTAAACCTGGGCTCTTTATGCGCTTGCTCCCCCAGGCCCCATGTTTCATTACTCAGAGCTCCAAAAGCAAATAACAGACGCTCTCTTAAAATGCCAGAGCCGTTTACTAATAGACAATAAGGCGCAGGCTCGGCTGTTTACTGTTTGCTGTGCACCACGAGCCGCTTTGCCCACGGCTCTGCATCTTATGCACCTTTACCCCCGTGACCTACCCGTTTGCCAGCGGCTCTTTGTTCCCTAATGGACACACACGTAGCCCCAAAACACACACACACACACACACACACACAGCAATCCATTCAGGGTCCTGCGTGTTCAAGGTCAGCACTCCAAAGCTCCTTTGATTGGGCAGTCTACATGCCCACACAGGGGAAACAAGTCATTGTTGAAATCCATCGGCTGGCTGACTTTGCCACGGGAAGTTAGTTATTCAGACGCAGTCTGATACAGACGGTTATCTAATCTGGGCTGATTTGCTCTCAAGCTCGTGTTTGAAAAGAGGAGCGGATAATGACTGGCTTTGAAGAAAAAGGATGAGCAGAGAAGTTTTGGAGGAAGGGTGAGTTGATGGCAATGGAGGGAAGAAGGTGGGAGTAGGTGGACAGATAAAAACCTCAGGACGTTTCCTTGTTTTTTTCTGTTGCGTTTTCCTGTAATTGCTGCTGAAGCGCTGGCAGTTGGCAAGAGTGCCGAGGAGTAGGCCTGGGTTAAATAGCCCACGGCAAGCCAACACAGCACCTCAAGAAGCCCTTTGCTTCACATGTCATGTTTTGTATTTTCTTGTGGGGTTTTTTTTGTTCTTTTTTGAGGTTCAGGTGTTTGGATCACAGCTCTGCCTGGCTGCCCTCCACAGTCCCTTAAGGCGGATGACTCCGCTGTCAGAACTTTGTTGGAGAATTTTACCCTCAATAGGCAGATGCACGGGTTAAAAGTCTCCCTTCCTTCGCCGCAGGTGGCATACAGCTGGCTTAAACTTTAGGATTTTCGGCATTCGCCTCTTGAAAATGTGTTGTGTTTCAATTGAACTGTTGACATCTTTAGTTTAGTTTGTTAAACAATCTTCCAGCTCTTTTATTACAGAATAGTTGCACGGTATCATACAAAACATGCTTTAAAGTTTCCTAGAGTCGCTTAGAATAAAAAAACTACAGTTTGCTCAGTAACGTCAGAAACCACTTTTCCTGTCTCAACCCACTCTTTGCCTCAGAACCAGTTTGGCTATCGAGACGGTGGTCCGAACTCTGCAGAGGCCTCTTCGACAGGTGCCCAAGCCTGCGTGAACCCGCAAGCCACGGGCGGACCGGGTCCGGCCCTGGAGGACCAGCGCTGTAACGGGAGCCTGCATAAGAAGAGCCTGAGCCAGGCTGGAGGAGAGGACAGCGGGGGCCAGAGGTACAGCGCCGACCCCACCATCTTCCTGGGGGAGAGGGCGCCCAGAGGGGACACTGACGAGGACGGATACATGACACCCATGAAGGACAAGAGCTCCTCAGGTACTCTAGGTGAAACACAAATCAGGTTAATTGTTGTAATGACGCATTGTAGGAGTTGTATTCAATCAGTGTAGATAATACAACAATTCGAAATAACCTCACCTCATGATATTCATTTCTCACCAAGCTATAAAACATAAGTGCAATAGAAAAATACAAATAAAGACAATTTAAACAAGCGCATACTCTAGCGTGTACTTCGAATTGCACCTCTTTGCTCCTTTACAGAGTATATGTGATCATTTAGCCTGGTCATTTCATTTCATTGATTAAAATTCCTACCCAGTTTCTATCACCGGTGTATGTCAGCTACTCCAGAGTCATGTTTTGCCTTTGATCATAATTCAGTCCATCAGTCCTGCTCTTGCACTACTGTCTTTGATTTTTGAGCAGCTCAAAATTATAACAAAGCCTGCAGCAAAATGCATCTGATGCAATGTCAAGGAGCGGAAGAGTGGGCAAAATCAATAGGTTTCACACCCCACTATTATAGCGTTTGGAAGCGGCAAAGAGGGGTCATTTGCTGGCATTTTCACCCCAGGCAGATGGAGTTTCCAGTGCCAAAGAACTGCTGGCGTGTTGCCCGCCTGGTCCTGAGTGGCTGCCATTATCGCCATTATCATCTCCATCTTCTCGCCTCATTAGCGAGTGATCACTTTCTCCTACTCTCTTTCAATTTCCATTTCTTTTGTTTGCGCTTCTCTTGATTGGATTTCTGTGGATTTTTTGTTTCTCTGTCTTATTCTCTCATAAACTCCTTTTCTCTTGTTCTCCGCTTTCCCACCATCTCTCCCTTTTCTGACCCGTGCTACAGAATATCTGAATCCCATTGAGGAGAACCCGTTTGTCTCCCGACGTAAGAACGGCGAGGTCCACGCCTTGGATAACCCGGGCTACCACAGCACACCCAACAGCCAGCCCAAAGGAGAGGATGAGTACATCAACGAGCCGCTGTACCTCAACACCTTCCACAGCCCCGGCGATCTAGGCCTGGAAGTCTTAAGGAGAAATGGTCTGCCACTACCCACCCAGCCCCCTCCGTCCATCTCTTCTTTAGGCTCCCACCTCCCGCTTACCATCCAGACCAGCCTGCCCCACTACCCCCTCCCCACTGGCCAGCCCTCTCCATCTGGCATGCCTTGCCACCATGGCCCGCCGACCCACATCCTCCACGCCCACCACACCATCAAACCTGCAGGACAACCTGGCAATCCAGGTGGTGGCTCAGCCAGCCAGAGCCAAACAGGAACTACTGCCCAAGCCCAGGTGTGCCAGTCAGGTGCCCTCTCCACCTCGGCCACCATCGGGCACGGCAGCCTGCCAGCCTACCAGATCCACGCCACCATGCACCCGGCCAGCCTGCTGAAGCACGGACTGACGTCGGGTAAAGTCAGCGGGAAAAAGCTGAAGGTGACCTTTGACAATCCAGAGTACTGGCAGCACAGCTTGCCTCCAGTATCGTCAAACCAGACGGCCCCTGAGGGTGCCCAGGGCGGTTCCACCAATGCCACGCTCTTCTATAAACAGAACGGACACATACGGCCGGTGGTAGCTGAAAATCCCGAATACATGTCTGAGTTTTCCCTGAAATCTGGTACCGTCTTGCCGCCTCCGCCCTACCGGCAGCGGAACACTGTGGTCTAAATCGTTCCACTTGACAAACGTTCCTCAAACTGACACCCCGCCTCCCGCTACCCAGACATCCTCTCCAGTTCCACTGTTCCACACAGAGGGGAGCAGCCACAACCAGAGCCCCCAACTCTTTCCAAACAACGTGCCATCTGCTCTAGACCGTAGCGACACGGAGGTGAACCAAGCCAAGCAGACTCACACACCTTCACTATATCCAATCCAGTCCATTTCTGTCCTGTAGATAGAGACTGCGCTCCATGTCAGTGAGAACGTGAAGTTTATGGTGTTTTTTTTGGCAAGCAGCGGACACATGACTGTCACACAGCAGTGGACGCACCGTGTTGACCCAGCGTGGTAGACCACAATGGCTTTAAACAAGATGCATTTGGCTTAAGGGGACCTGAACTCACTGCCAACCACTGCGGTTGTCAGATTCATGGGAGGAACAAGATGTTCTGTTATTTTTCCAGTATAAAAGTCTGAGGATGAACAATACGCTTCTAAGGGTTTCTGAAATAAGCAAACAGACAGAGCGAATACAGTCTATTACATGTCAAGATATGTTGTTTTGTGAATGACTTTGTGGAGTGAAGTAAAACAGCAAATATGTACTATGGAGGATAAAAGGATTAAAATGGTTTAGTCAAGACTTCCAGTAACAACAGACGGAGCACTGGAAGCCGATCAATCATATTCAATCTTTTTGCCTATGGGATTATACCCTACGTTCTCGCATTTTCCATCAAATATGTGAATCTCATCTCATCTTTCTACTGTAACTGTGATACTGTGATGGCCAAAACTACAGTGTGCTACATTTGTAGTTCGACCATGGACTTGCCTGAAAACACACAAGGCAACTGCTGTTTTTTGGCGGACTGCTGTCTGCTTGGAAGAGCTGATCAAAAGCAGCCTTTTTACCGAGCCAAAGGGGATAAGGGAATAAAACACTGTAAACATTTTTAAAAACACTGGTTGCAGTGCTGAGAAAATGGATTTGTATGCACTGGTTTTCCCATTCAGACCATTAAGCTAACTTAGATGCGTAAAAAGTGTCTTGCCACAAGACTATAGATTCCTGTATCTGCTGAAAAGTAAGATAAGACCATCCATGAAGCAGCTGAACTAAAATTGGTGATTATATAGACAGTGTGAGGCAACAGAGCAAAAAAGATTCTACAGAGAGGGGAGGGAGAGTTCATACAAGCCGCCTAATGAAGACCTCAAGGAATGAACAAGACAGCAGCAGCAGAGCACAGTAAAAGCAGACTACTACTGTGTGCGTCTGTGTTTATATCAGTGCGAATGGAACGAGCTGGTGTGCGTTCACATTTTAGCGAGCCAGGGATGTCTGTGGAATAAGAGATGCGGCAGCAGTCGGTGAAGAGATGGTCGGTAGCCTCGGTACGGCTGCTAACACTGATCCGACCTCGAATTTTTCCACCATATGACTACTGTCGAGTAGAAAACACTTTTAAGGTCTTGAATTGTCTTTGTCACAGTTCAATTATAAGAAACATAACTGTTTTGTTAGCTTGGAACTAGTTCTTATGAAATTATAAATCCTGAGCACTTTTGCTGGACCCTAATCGTCTCCAGCTGATGTGGACATGATTCTGGCAAACATGGGAAATGGATGCATTCCCATGTCATTTATTCCATCATTTCTCCATTCATTAGTGGCACCTTGTAACTCAGGAGCCTGTTTTGCAAGCCTGACCACACTGCAGTAACGATTTATTTGGTTTAGTCTAAGGTGGCGAAGCGACCTGCACAATTTTAAACCATTACGTCATTTCATTTTGACAAAGGATCGCCGACAAAGATCAAGACCACATCTGTGTTTGTAGTAATGGGGCTGTCGGTTGCACTTTGGCTGCTTCAGTTGGCACCAAATTGTTACATATTTTGAAGGACCTTATTGCCCAGAAGTCGGAACTCATGAACTACCAACCCGCCAACCTCGTCTCTTTGAAATGATGTTTACAACTAATTTGCCACAGCAAATGCGTTTCGAGGCAAAGTCCTGCTCTTTGTACGTGAACATAATCCAGTGATTACTGGGACAACAAATCAGTGCTCGTAAATTATTCTTTGTTTCTTATTTTCTAGTGCAGCTGTAACTTTTCCCCGACACTGATTTAGTAGTCTGGCCACTGTTCGTCTATGCTCCTGATCCATCGAGGCTTAGCGTCTCTTTCCCAACTGAGTTTTACTCTTGAGATCACCAATAGAGTGCGGATTGCCCCGTCAGTCTCAAGAGAATCGCTTTAACCCTCACTACTGATGCCTCTGCAGGCAAAACTGCCAGTCAATGCTGCTAAAAGCGCTGCTGTTACAGCCATTATTTCTTCCGCCCGAGCCATACAGGAGACCTGTGGGTGGGGAAACACCACCGCGCTTTGCCAAACTTCAAGGATGAAGAATAAAATGTTGTAATGATGGGTTTGCCTCAGAGGTCCTCTTCCAAGAATCACATCTTAGTTCAATCAATATGAACAGAATCTTTTAGTTTCTGAACCTTTTAGCCTTTAAAAGTTTTTTTTCTTCCCATCCATAATCTTTTATTAATGTAATTATTTAGTCATTCTGCCGTCGCAGAGCCCTCCCCAAGCGGCTTTCTTATCTAGGATATTTATTTAGTGTATTTCAATGTCTGCTTCTGTGTGTGTGAAAGTGTGCGTCGGAGTAAGCTGTATATGTTTGTCCTCCCCATGGAGCACTTTGATCAAAGAGATGATATCCACCCTTCTTTACTGCAATGTTCAACTTGTTGTTTATCTGGTAATTTACCACTTCAGAGGGGCAAAATCTTGAGCAAAAGTCAGAGGGAGTTCACGAAGAAAACACCTTTTCGGTGCTACTGACCAGCTTCAAGAATGTCCTCCTTTTTGCTTTAAACACTATTCATAATGCTGCTTTGATGATATCATGATTATTTGATGGATTATTTTGGAGCTCTGATTCAATGAACTAGAGAAAGCATTTAATATCAATATGAAACATTTATAGCGCGTTTGAGCCTGTTTATACTGAGCGATGGAAGCGTCTGGCACATCTGTGTTTCAGATAGAAGAAAAGAGAAAGGCACGACGGCGGCGATAAGAAGATCAGTTCCTCTCGTTGGCCTAAATTTACCCGCAAAACTCAAAATATGTGTATGAATCAAGACTAGATTAGACTGAAACGCTGGCAAGACGACTGGCCTTGCATGTTCTCGAGAGCACTTCAGAGAACCGGAGACACTTCGCAACCCTCCGCTTTTAATTGAATCGTCTCGAGTGTTCATTGCAAGTCTTGTTTTTTCATCCAATTGCCCTTTTTTATTTTTACTAACCACAATCCGTTTTCTTTTTCTTGGAAGCAATCAATTTTCCTCTCTGCTGGCTAATATCTCATTTCAAACACATCTGGCCTCAGCATTGGATCCTTGTTACTTGCTGCGATGTGTCTCGGGCCTAAACACTCTCGTGGCAGTTCAAGAACACACTGTTAAGAGACTGATCACGTCTTTTATTTCTACTTTTTACTGTTTCCTCCGAGCCAAGGTGCAGAGGCATGTAGCCATGTCGTACTGAAGTGAATCCTTCGATGTTTCATCATCAGCAGCTCCTTACAATAGAGGCTGCGTTAGAGTCTAATGTATAGTACAATATCACCTTGCATGGTACCCAAAGTGAGTGTTTTACTGCCCTCCACCTTTGTATCCCTACATTGATGACAGTATTATATTCAATTTTCATCGTGGGAGATTCCTTTTTTTACTGAATTCAGTAGCACAAACCTTATTTCTCACATCTTTCATGGGATATTTTTCTGTATAGTACCCTATATAGTCTTTTATTGTTGAGTTGTTTTCCATATTATCAAGGATGTTTTTCTTCAAGGAAAAAAAAAAAAAAAAACTTCAATCTGTGATTTCTTTTCCCACTATTTTGTTGTTGTTCCCTGCACATTATTTAACATGTTTGCCATGCTCGCCGCACATGTTTAGCCGTTAATTGCACAAATCATCGTTGTTAAATGATCAGATCAGATGAAATGTACAGAATCTTTGGGGGGTTTTCCTCCAAAACTTCTCTAACATACTTCAACAACAAATGTGAATAGTATTTTTATAAAAGCACTGAAATGGCCGACGTGGTGAATTTGTAAATAAGGAGGTCGATGCTTTTGAATTTATATGGTCTTCTCTCCATTTTTCTCCCGCTTATGACGAGTTGTACAAAAAGAGCCGTACATATTTGCTTTATGTAAGTGTAATTTTTGACTAATGGGACTTTGATTTTAAAAGTGCTTGTTGACCCCTCTCTCATGTGAAACATTCAGAGCTTTGTGGCTGTCCTCACGTATTGTTTCACTGTAAAAGTGGTGATGGTGGGTGGGTTGGTGGGGATCTCTTTGTTTTCGCTTCCCCAATGCCTACCATTTCATTTTGTCTCCAGTAATGAGAACAAGCCAACAAACAGCTTATTCTCCTCTTTGTCTCCCCCTCTTTCTAACTCTCATAAAACTGCGTACTTTCTACTGGAAACGTCACTGAGCCACGTCCGACCTCCTCCTCCTCTCTGCTGGACGCAGCCTTCACAGTACGCCCTGTTGTCAGTTCCTTTCTGATGGGTTTTGCATGCTTTCAGAGGAGACATAGTAGAGAGAAGGCAGTACCGCCTCCTCGCCGACGTTAGCTTATCCCCCTGTATCCAAGAATGTCACCGCTGACTATCTCTCCGAGTTATTTGAAACCATACCCAAAGCTTTATATCATAGAAATACCGTTCCTCATGTTTGTTACATGAATCTGTCAAAAGTATATTTTTAATTTAATATAAATAAAGATTGATTCAGTATCTGTTGGTTTTTTTCGTGGTGCTTTGCTTGTGTGTCTTGCAGCTAAAAAAAAACCAAAACAACATCTAACGCTTGGGTTTGCTAGTTGAGCAGAAAGTTTGCAAAAAGAGAAAGTTGTGGATGTTCTTTAGCACACTTGAGTAAACACAAATCTTGCAGAGAAAATTATTCTCAAAGTAAGTTTTGGAGAAGGATTATACCTGATGTTTAGAAAAATACCTTTGTTTGTTTTTTTCCTGTTAGGCTTCGAAGTAGTGAATCTGGGTAATTCAGCTCCATCAGGGACTGAAACCCCGGTTCTGTGTCTTGCTCAAAGACACCTCAGCAGGGGATCTTCGGAGCCCTAAACCTACACTCCCTTACTCAACATGCCACCCCGCTGCTAGTAAATAGAGCGGAAAACGAAAGGCCCCGTCGATTGCTCTAATGCTCGCTCGAAGCGCTTTAATAATACAATTTGAACAGATGCTGTCTTTAATTAAGGCGAGAAGCTCTCAAGTTCCAGCGTGCTTGTTTTGACCCGACTTCCTAAGATCAACATTGCAGAAGTTGCACCGGAGGCGAGACTCACGCTTTCATGCTCAAAAGGACTTGCAGATGAAGACCATGCTGCATCAAACGCTCCGCAGTGTCCTCCTAGCCTCCTCCTCCTCCGACGGTCCTCCTTTTCGAAGAGGCGAATGTGTGGGTGTAACATTTTGCTCTCGTTTTTCCTCCTGCCCCGCGCCGCGCTTAATCCGCTGTTTACCCAAGTGTCGGTTATGTAAACTGGCATAGGCAACATCGTTTGCTATGCAGCGCTCCTCCATCGCCGCCGCGTATACCCGGGCTTTCATTTCAATCATGAATAATACAGAACTGTCCGATGGCAGAATATGAGCTTTCTGAAGTCACTGCTATTAATACTAATAAGGCGTTGGGGTACTTTAAGTAAACACTGTTTATGAACAGAAATCCTCCTTTCTTTCCCTCCTTTTTGGTTTCCTCCGAGGCTCAATTAGTAAGCACATCGCGCTCCACCTTTGTGATGTAGGAGGGGGCTTCTGCTGCAGAGAAGCGCCATTCAAACTATTTCCCGCCAAAGTCACAGCCCCTATAGCTATAGCTACACATCTATATCATCATGCCTGCTTGAATCCTGTCAAAAACATTACGACTCCTATTTTCTCCGTAAAAGAAAATTTAATTGATACTCAGTCACTCCCTTCCCGACGTTGAACTCGCATAATAGACAGATTATCTCCAACATTAAGTCCACTTCCCCGACAGGACTTTGCACATTATCGTCCTCACCAGACAGCAAAGGGTGGGGGGGGGTTGGGGGGAGGGAGGTCACTGTTAATTTGGCGGCTGCTGTATAACCATTTGTCATTGTGTTACAAGTCTCCTTTATAGCTGATCTTCCTGTGAAGCCCGCCGCCGCCAGAAGATGAGTTTCAGCCTCGTCCCGGAGGCCTGTAGCAATTATACTTACAGCTGCCCCGTACACCTGTGACATGGCTCGGTGACGGTGTTTAATTGCAGCCTGTCACCTTGAAGGTGTTTTTTACCCACGCACCCTTGCACCAAAGAAACAAGGCGAGCGTTTGAAACAGTTTCCACGAGCTTGATGATTATTTTATATTGCAGAGTTTAGAGCTGCAGTTATATTTTGTTCTTTTCCTCCTCCAGGATTTAAAAGCTCTGGAAATACAGTTTGGGCCACAAGACCAAATTCTCCACATTTTATGTCTTCAAGGGTGTATTAATTCATGACGAGGGAATACCTTAAAATGAAGAATTACTTCACTTTAATTGCCTGAGACTAGTCTGAATGCGACACCTAAATGAACACAAACAATATTTATCAAATACAACATTTAAACATCCAGCAAAGGGTGAATTAGCTATGAATTTATGAATCATATCACTTATCAATTGCATGAAAATCATGTTTCTAAATGACCGAACTTTGCCGGATTGAAGCTGCGACAGCGAGGCTGACAGCGTCTTGTCTGTTAGAAACCGTTTTTTAATCTGCTGCTTTATTGCACTTCTCTTCATCATGTAATCGCTAATTTGACATCATTACTCCAACATATCACATCACTTCAGGCGGTATATTTGCATTCTAATAACATGGAAAATGCCCCCATTTTGCCGTAATGTGCTATTAAGTTGTGTCCATTATGTTGCTTCCATAATGTTGTTAAAGATATGACGCATAAATCACACTTATCTCCTACCATGGGGTTATATCTCCCCGATCATAATTACGTGTAGATGTTTACTGAGATCCAAGGTTGAAACATGAAGCAGAGTTTCCATTTAAAAGAAAAGAAATCGTACAATTTAGCCATTATGCCTAATTTCCAGTATATTGACACCTCATCGTGGTTTGGGTTTTTAATCTCTTCCTCCTTCATTTAACCCCAGAGTGGCCAGAGCCATGATCATTAAATCCAATATGAGTCCTGTGACTGAGGTTGAGATAAATCTGAGCTGGTTATTAATAGAAATGTATAAACAGTGTGACATTTTTATTTTATTTTTTTACGGCTTTAGATAAGAAGCCGAGTAAATCACGGAGTCATGCATGAACAATCCTATCAAAGCAATGCAGATACAGTTCATCAGTCAGGGGGGGGAAATGACTCACCTTTGCAGTCTTAAGATCTACACTGTTGAATGGAAAGCCCATTTGTAATTAGAGTACACATTTCTTATGTCAATGTTTTTTCCCAGCACTGGCCTGAGTCAAAACTTGTGGGGCAAACTATCTCCACGCCCGAGGCTCGGACAAAAAGTCTGGGGGTGGGGGGGAACGCAGACCCAAAGGGACCTGCCTGCAGCCAGCCAATGTACACACTGAGTCTAGTCTGTAGCTGAGGATTACCGTGGAGAGGAGGAAGAGGAGGAGAATGAGACGAGAACTTCCCGTGAGGCAACTTTTCCACACAGCATAGTAATCAGGGCTGAGAAGGCGGCTGAGGAGGCAGGAGAGTGAGGGGGAAGTGAGAGAACAGGCCGAATGGTTGGGCACAACAGCCTGAGGCAGCCTGTCGAGGGCAGAGCGATGCACAAAACCACCTCTGAGAGGGAGACAAGAGGAGCAGGTGAGACAGAGAGCGGATGCTATGCTATAGCTTGACTAAACAACTCCGATAACGAAAGATATTGCCGGATGAGTTTATAAAATGTTTTTCAAAAGATTTGCACCACATTTAAACTTGCTTTCAGTGTAAAATGAAATATGTCCACGCTTCATTCTGTGCAAGATTACATGAGGAAGTGTTTGGCAGTAGTCTTATGCTGAGTCACGCCACAAGCTGTTTACTCACAAAGCCCCGGTTGCATGTCAGAATGCAGTCGCACACTATTAAGTTCATTTTATCAATAAGTAGCCTAAAGAATATCTATTTGTTGTGTTCTTATACTCACTTTACAATCCATATTTCCTCAACAGTTGATCACTCTGACCAATCAGTGTAGGTCTTGAATGTTTCTATTTTTGCTTAGCAACAAATCAGGATCAGGTACAAGTTGATGGCTTGGTGAAATTGATTGCTTTTTTTATGGCACAGTATGGAAGTCCACGGCTGAAAATAATAAAAATAAAATGATGTAATCAAACTGAAATTTCCTTTTTCCATTTGTGTGAAAATAATCATGTGCAACCTAAGTTTGAACATACAATTTCTAGCTGGATTTCAGACATTTTTTTCTGTCCTGTTGTTGGCTCATTTCTAGTGAAAATTACATAGGAAAGGTGTTTTTCATGCTCATTTCCAAAGCAACAGGATTCCTCTCGCCCCCTTCTGTGAAATCAACCATCAGAACCATACATTGGTTGAAATGCACCAATCAGACGACACCATTCCACACGCTGTGGTTTCTAGAGCGCTGCTTCAAAATGAAAGCATCATGCTTTGATCATGCATGGATTTTATTTTATTGTAACATTGGCAGCCCTGGACTTCCACATTCAGAACGTCTCATTACTTTTTGTTCACCTTGCCTCTCACACACACACACACACACTGCAGTCAACACTTACAGGTAAACATGCACCTGTCCACCTCCACACACACACACACACACACACCCTCACAGTTATGCAGCTGCAAGTGTTCTTTTTTCATAGCTTAGTGAGGATTTTCAGTGAGAGGTATCTGACTTTTCTCTCTTTATTCCTGCAGTGACCCTGACCAACACACACACACACACACATTTGCACCCACACAACAACACACGTACACAAACGCACATCTCTAGCCCGAGGACAGAGATGGAGAGCTGTAATTTCCACCGGGCCCGCAAAGTCTTTCCATCACTCTAAACTCAATCTCCACCCTTTCACTCTCACGAAGCTAAACATACCTGCACAATTATCACATATACAGTATAGACTCAAATTTACAAACGTGCACTCATGAAAGCATGCATGACGATTATCTCAGCAGAGAAATCTCTTTGTTTTTCTTAATTTAAAACTTTATTATCCTTTAAGCAAATGCAAAAATCAGTATTTTACATCTCCGTTTGGTTTCCCTCTTATACTGGCAGCATTTAACCCCCCACCACCACCACCACACACAATCCCACAAATCCCACCGACACGTTGTGACTCTGTCACACATGCACGATTATGTTTCAAAGCTCCCAGACAGGAAGCAGAGAGAGGTGAGATTTGTGCCGGGTAAATCACGTAATACTCCTTTCTCCCGTTCTGCTGGGCTCTGCTCGAGCCTCGAACGCGGACCTGGAGGTCTTTCAAGGGGCTTCATCCATTTGTGCGTGTGTCAACAGTGAAGGATTTACAATGCAGGAGATGGGGGCGGGGGGGGGGGGGGGAGGATAGTTTTAGACGTGTAAGTGCACAGATTCACAACCAGGGTTTTATTTTTAGCGAATGCACCGAACCCCCGACCTGCTCACTCCATCATACGTCGCTGCAGATAACAGCATCAGCTAAATCCCCATCATGTAAAGAGGCCTGGAGACGTCCAGATGGTCCGAGGCAGCTCTATAATTTGTCCAAAAAAAATGATGCTGAACAGTGTAAGAAATTAAGCAACTACAGGCAGAAAGCATTTCTTCTCTTTACTTGATGTGGAACGCTGTTAGAAGAGGAGGCCGCCAATGATTCATCTTTTCATTGTATGCGAGATTACCATGAAAAGAAGACAGCAGTTAATTCATCTTAATAACAATTATTGAGGTAAGCCCGGTTGTGTCAAAAGGCGAAGAAAATCCCCCTACTTGTCATTTTAACATGATTACTAGTGAGCTTTAGAGATGCTAGTATGCATATTTTGACCTCCTGCTGGCCCTAGCTTCATATTTAACCTACAGGCATGACTCATTCCTTCATTACAGTGACCACGTTGGTCCTCTCGGTTTGCCAAACGGGCAAAAGTGTGTCCCTGAGCATGTTCAGGGTAGCAGGAACGTTAGGAAAAGCAGTGTAAGCAATAGTTACTTCTAAGTCCTGAAAAGCCTTGTTTTAATTAATGTAACCACTGAAGGGCTACGACGGCCCTGTGACGAGTGCGTGGGTTTGATCTTCTTTTTCCTGTACATGGATCTCCACTTCGAGCATAAAAGTAGCCCGTTCTCCCACACGTGTGTGTGTGTGTGTGTGTGTGTGTGTGAGTGTGTGTGTGTGTGTGTGTGTTCGAGGCTTTGTAAATGTGTCAGTGTGTTTGTCCTGCCCTGCTCCTGCGGTGACTGAGTGTCTCTAATTGAGTGTGCTGCTCACTCAGACAGGAGGTCTCAGACAGTGTTGACATTCAGGCAGTGGAAGGCCACCATTGGGGATGACAGCTGATCATTCTTCCAGCCAGCAGCCTAATTACACGGAGATGGAAAGAGCAGAGGAGAGAGGCATAAACAGAGAGAGAGAGAGAGAGAGAGAGAGAGAGAGGCTTTTGAAACAACAAACAGGTTCCGGTTGCATCCAATCAAGCCTCCCGTCCTGCTGTTTCGTCCATTCATAATGCCCCCCCCCCCCCCCACCCCACGGTGGGTAGAAAAGCAGCCAACACCCCACTGCGTTCCTGCTCGCTGCCTGAGCTCCTGCAACCACGCTGCCTTCCCCCAACTCCCCCAGCATCTTTCACAGCATCTTCCCCAATTATGCCGTCGTCGTGAGCGCCTCTGTGTGATTTCATTGTCGCCCGAAAGCACGGAGAGACGTCAAGCTCTCTCTCTCTCTCTCTCTCTGTCTGTCTCTGTCTCTCTC